CGCAGCTTGGAGCTCCTGTCGCCTCTCTCCCCCGCTCCTTGCATATTGTACGGTGCCGGATCTTACGCGGTTGGTTTCTGTTTGTGTGTTTTTTAAATAAAGCATTTTTTACTAGTTTGAGTGAGTGCCCTCTCTAGCCCCACAGGAGCACCCCTTCCAGTCCGCGCAGACCTCCATTCGTCCTCCGCGCGTTACACATGTCACCGACTGGCTGCTTCCGAGTTCCTCCGCCTTTGCACAGAGTGAATAAGGGGAGAGTTTTGACTTTCTGACATAAGCACACATGTCAATAAACCGGATTTGCATGTACAAAATATAATATCGATGAAAAGGATCAACGGAAAAATGTAAACCTTATAATTTTCTAATTTGAGCTGCAGTGCATCGTATTCATCCTGGATCTCCTGGGCTTTCAGCTCATCATGATTTCCTTGTTTTCGCTTTCGACACACTTCAACATCAACAACTGTGCGACTCAGCTTCTCTTTCGCTTTTGACAGCGCTTTTTCATCATCCACAATTTTTCCAAAGGCATCCAGAACACTAAAACACTAGGCAATTTCGATAATCGTTGAACACAGCTGCACTTGCAGCAGCTCTCAAAACTCTTTGCTATCACTTTATAGCAACCAGTCTTTATTGCCTAATCTTAACAATCACTGCAGTTAATTACCTCCATTACCTCAAAGAAGAAAAAGTGTGAGCTGCCCACGTGGCAAATTTAAACACCAGTGTCGAGCTGCACAAATGCAATAAATAGCAACGCGTGCCTGACTAGCTGGTGCGATCATGCGTTTTGTGCAATTCAACCCATCGAACGATTGCCTATTATTGATTTTCACTGCTTTGTACTTTAGTCTATGATAAAATAGTTCAAAAATTGGAAAACAGTTAAAAATTTCATGCACTAGCGCATGAAAGCTGAATTCGAAACCTTGAAGGGTGAATATCTTCATCCTGAGTTAATAGTTTACCTGCCGAAACTTTCAATAGGCTGCCGGTGATACTCAAGAGCACAGGAACGCTGAATTTGAATGGACAAGGTTGAGCGTGGGCAAGAGTAATTTATAATCATGATTTTTGAAAATGATTATTTTAATTTTTTTTCTGAAAATTTATTTGCAAGCGTTACACTTCGTTCTACCTCTCCCTGGACCTGAAGACTATTGCCCAAAGAAACTCTTATAAAATTACACCTGGGACAGCACTGCCAGTGGGTAGTTACTGCTGGTAGTTGCTACCGCTCGAGCTGTTTGTCAAGTACCCCACC